TTATTATTATTATTATTATTATTATTATTATTATCTCTTTTCTTCTTCTTCTTCTTCTTCTTCTTCTTCTTCTTCTTCTTCTTCTTCCTATTGGGTGGGGTGTTCTGTTCTTCCTTTCCCTTTTGTTTTCCATATGATGTCTTTTGAGTTTTGTGTGGCGGGAGGATTTAGTTGTGGAGCCAACAAGATCTCTCAGCATCTCTCTCCCAAAGTACGTAATGTCCATAACGAGTAATTGATGAGGTAATGAGATGCATCACCAATCCACTCCCTTTTCATCTAAGGGCTCTTTTGATGGAAGGCTTATGTTATGGTCCCTCTTTGGTTGGTTCTTTTAGTTGGTTCCTTTTGCACCCTTTTTTTTGTCTTTGCACAGCAGCTCTGCTGAGGTTGGCCAAAAAGTCCTTTCGTAGTTTCCCCCATGCGCATGTTTGCTGTTGGTACAGGAGTTTCTTCATATGCACTCGACAAATGAAGCTCATGATTCCTTTCCTTCCTCTTTCAGTTCCTCTTCTTTTATTGGGCATTCAAGGGAGTGGCCAGGCTCTGTTTGTTACATCATAAGCTCCTCATTGCATCTCTTTGTGCACCACAATGGTGGTTCGGAATTTGGCTCTTATGTTGACGAACCCCTGTAACCACCCTGCATCGACCTCCACGTGATGATGGCTACTGTTTAGATTGAAATGATAACAATTTAGCTGTGGCCACACCCAAAGATGCAATTCATTGTTTCTACTTTTATGGTGGTTTTTGAACATGAACCAATGAGCTAGCTAACCTGACCCGAGTGTAAATCGATTAATTTAACATGCTATTCCCGTTCCCAACATGGCAATGCCAACTAGTTGATCTCAAGCCTCGCAGTATTGGTTATAAACTTATAAATGCTGCTAGTGACATTGTGCTTTAAGGACAGGCACCCAATATCATGTTTAGAAACTTCACAGGAGTTCATTCCACACCACAAATAAACCGTGCATCACCAAGGCCGATAGGAAATCAGGTTGCCAGGATACTTGAGCTAGCTAGCATTACCATTTGCTTCCTCCAGATCACAGAGCCATACTACCGTATAGGGTTAATACCTTATTTTGGCCTGAACTATGACCATATAATCAACTTTGGCCCGTGGTTTCAGAAATTAACATCCTAACATCAATTATGTAACATATAGACTCAATTGGCCTGACACCTAATTTGACCGTCAATTTGAATGGTCAACATCATTGACCGTTAGTCAACCCGCCAAGTCATTGCCTCGTCAGCCTAAAAATCATAACAAAATTCAAATTCAAACTATTTTTTTAATCTTTATTATTTATAATCAAATTAACAAAAAATAATTTATTAAAAACATAAAATAAATTTATTTTTAATTTTTTGTGTAATTTGAATATGATTAATTTTATAAATTAACCAAAAATTATCAAATTATTTTATATATTTAACATTACCCAAAAATGAAATATATAATTTATATAATATATTTTTAAATTTATAAAATTTTATTTGGTAATTTTTGGTTAATTTATAAAATTTATCACTTTCAAATATCCCAAAAAATCACAAATAAATTTTATTTTATATTTTTAAAATTTTATTTTTTGGTTAATTTGAAAATGATAAATAATAGAAATTAGGAAAATAATTTGAATTTGATTTTTTTAATAATTTTAGGCTGATGAGACAATGACATGGCGTGTTGACCATCCAAAATGACGGTCAAACCATGTGTGCGGGGCCTGGGTTCAGGTCCTTAAACCCCCTTTTTTAAGAAACATCTTAAAGCGTTGTGATTGGCTGGTGAGGTTTTAGGTAGTTAGTGAGGAGTTATAAGTTAATTAGTTATTAAGGGTATTTATGGAATTATAAATAATATAAAAATTAAAATAATTAACCCTACTAATCCCTAAAGGCCTAAACTCACGTCCTGTTTATTTTCTACCTCCAAGCAGAATCGTTCCCTCTCAATGTTTTCTTCAAGCTTCGTTCTCCGGCCGTCTCTTCCGTTTCCGGCTGCGTTCCGGCTCCCCAGCTTCTATTTCATCCTCAATTGTTGTCAGATCTCCAGTCCGTCGTTGACATCCTCTGCCTTACATTTCATAAGGTAATTTTTTTTTTCTTTATTTTGTTTTTGTAGTTACTCCTTCCAGCCATTGCTCCCATCGTCGGCTTCCGACGTCGCTTCCGATAATTCTCTCGCCTGTTTTTGTTTTTAATGTTTCGTATTTTCATTGGTTGCATGGGCTTGGGTTTTCGATGCATGGGTTTTAGGTTTTTGTCTTTGCTTGTTAATTGTTTTTGTTATTATTAAGCTTATTGGATTCACTTTTAATTACGTTGTTTTGCGTTATTAATTTTTTTATGGTCATTTGTTTACAACATTAGCAAAGATGATTAGTAATGTTTTGAAAGTGTACTATTAATCAGTTTTTTGTAATTAATAACCTTCCTTAGGCATTATTATTATTTCCAGCGCCATTATCAATTTTGAAACGAGGACTATTATTAATCATTTGTATCATATTAACATGTACTATTATTAGTCTTGGGTCATTTTAACGTTCAATTTCAAAAAAAATTTTTTTGCAAACATTTGTAACTTTATCAGACACCATTATTAATTTTTCGTAGGTATGCTTCTTAGTTTTTTGTTTGTTATATTTATTTATTATTAATTGAACCGTCTTTACTTTTAATTTAATTGGTGATGTTAGGAACTTTATCAAATGCCATTATGAAAATTTGTTTATGTCATTATCAATGTTTTGTTACCGATGCTCAATTATTAACGTTTTATTATAGGTTATTAATTTTATGTGATTAGTTATTAACCTTTTAGTATAAACGTTTCCACTATTAAGACCATTAATATAAATTAATTATTAATATTTATGTCATCAAGTCGTAGTTTTCATTTGTTATCTTATTAACATTTATGTCATCAATTCGTAATTTTCATTTGTTATCTTATCAATGTTTTTAACAACCATTATTAACGTTTTGCTCAATCATTTGCATTGCAGTGGTTTTTCCCTCTCTGTATGGACGACCAATTTGTTGTCTAATGTGTTGATTTAAAGAACATGCAATTCCAATTCATGAATAGCTTACCTCAAGGGTGGGACGGAACAACTAGCCTACAAGGAGAATGGTCAGGGGCGGAGCTAGGATTTAGCTTTCGGGGGGCCGGAGTTCTCTTGATAATTTACCGTAAAGAGCTAAAATTCTATTAAACAAAAACTCATTTTATTTTATTAAAAGCGCACAAAAAAATTTATATTAAATTTGGGATAAATTAGAAAACTATATACAATTTCTAAAAAAAAAATCAGTTAACTTATAGGTTTTCATTATCAACGGGATACAACCTAGTTATCCACTTTTTCGTGTTTGTTGGTAATTAATGGGGAATCGAGCTATTTGTAACAACTTTATTATCTTTTTTTTTTTGCATTATTAACATGTTTGTAATATCTTAATAATTTGACCGCATTGTAAATATAATTTAACCGGATAAGTAATATAATTAACAATTTTTTTATTAACGGAAGTTATTTGTTACGATATTAAAGTTTTGTTATTAAAGTTTTGTTACCACTAATACCATTTTATTATTAACTATTTTGTTCCCCTGGTTAACCATTTACTTTAAGTTATTAACGTGTTTAACACTACTATTAATGTTCTATTATAAATTTTCATTATTAACTTTTTCAATACCAATTAGAACGGTTAACTATTTTAATACTAGCACCAGCACATTTCTAGTCTCATTTGCATTTTTATTAACTTTTTTGTTACCATTATTAACCTTTTATATTTAAGTCATCAACGGTTCTGCTACCATTATGGAAGTTATTAACCTTCAGTTACCAATTCGAATTTTTTAACTGTCATGTTATTAAAATTTTTGTTATCATTATTAACATTTTCCTCGCTCATTCAAATTGCAATGAGTTTCCTTTACTAATGTTCGTTTGACTGAATCATAGGTGCACTATGTCACAAGTGTCGAAGATCTTGAAGATCTATATTGTGATTCATGATCACTGAGAACGATATACAAAGCAATATCAATTGATTGCAAAATGTTAACAATGTCATTAGAAGTCATTGGAAGAGGCCATGACTATATAGTTATAAACATGAGATGAAAATGTGAATCATTGGTAAAAAAACTAAAAATATTGTAAATCAATAATATTGCACTACTCAAACTTTTAGTGGCAATGTTATATGACTTTAATAATTCATTCACAAGCATTGATGACAAAAATTGTAAAACAGTAATAATTGATCCAAAATTGTTAATAATGTAATTGTAAAAAATTGATAAGTATATTGAAAATATTAATAATGATTAGGTATAGTAATAATTATTTATTTTATAAATGTTGATAATGTCATTGCAAAACGTTAATACTACATTGCAAGTTGTCTCAAAATGAGAGAGCATGTATTTTTAATTCATAAAAGTTAATAATATCATTGTAAAACGTTAATACTACATTGCAAGTTGTCTCAAAGTGAGAGAGAGTGAGTATTTTTAATTTTCATTTTAAGAAAGAAAAAACATTAAGTCCGAATTTATTAAATATTAAATAATAATATTTAATTTAATTAATTCTGAATTTCCTTTTAATGATAGTGACGAGGGAGGGTAATGGAGAAGGTTACGGAGGAGAGAGAAATAAAATCATTAATTATTAGTATTAATTATATTTGCATAATACCACATTTACCCTCAACTAATAATTAACTACTAACCACTATTAACTACCTAATCTACTATTAGCCAATAAGAATGACTTAAGAAGATGCTTAAACTTATATGCTTAAGCACCGGATCCAACCCGTGTGTGCGGCCAATTGAGTCTAAATGCTGCATAGTTGAGGCCAGGATGTTATTTTCTGAAATCACGGGCCAAAGTTGATTATTTGGTTATAGTTCGGGCCAAAATAAGGTATTAACCCTACCGTATATCGTTCATCCTATTAATACATCAAGTTCATTGGGTTAAACAGCTGAGTTATACCTAACTATAAAGAATTAGCTAGGCGTTAGTAACACAAGAAACTGGGTAAGGCTTCTGTTATGAGTTTAGATTCAGTGATAAACTAAACGATATCTACAGGACCTACTTTCTTCCAACATAAGCAGCCAGTTTTGACAAATCTGGAACCCAAAACGAAAGCTCCGAAGACCCAGTTGCAAACATAAGGGTTCCAGGAGCCCATTTTATAACATGCGGTTCTGTTTCATAAGTTATCCAACTAGCTACCTGCAAACCACAAGGAAAGGAAGGGTTTACGTCATCGTGAAGACACAGTACTCCAACCATGTGCTCTTTTAACCATCTGAGATGCAATAATGGATGCAAGAAACAACTCAGTCTGCATTTCCAGTACTTGAGGCAACAACAATTTTATGCATGGACACGCCTTTTGACTGCTGAACAATTCCACAATCATTTCTGCCAACAGTTACCTCCATTGGTACAGCGCAAATTGCATTGAAGATGGGAAAGTGAACAAGGACGTTGAATGTCTTACCTCCTTCCCGGACCTTAAACTCCAAGCATGGACACTTCCATCACCTGAGCTGAGCCTATTCAACACAGCATCGGGAGGGAAGAGATAATTAGAAGGTTCCCATCCAAAGTGGAAGAAAACATGAGATGATCCGGGAGAAGCACCTTACCTGATATAACATACATTCCGTCGGGGTGAAAGATGTTTCCAATGTGGAATTTCTTGAAACTGGCTTTACATTGTACGTGGACAGCTAATGAAAAAGTGAGAATAAATGCACTTCAGTGTCATTGCTCACAAGGGATCCACAGTTCATGCTATTGAGAGCCAAACTTACCAATGTTCCACGGAATGAATCAAGGACATGTATATGCCCATCCATGGTTGTTACAAGCATGAGTCTGCCGTCATTCCTGAACTTTACTGCATTTGCATCCGAAGCATCTCCACCAACAGAATAGATTCCAAAAGGACCCTATATCGGGAATTTAAACCTCAGCAATTAGGGAGCCATTAACAATTGTCAGAGTTATTACCAAGGGAGTCATGGAACAGAAATAGTGCAGAACTAACCTTTTCATATTTACGAGAATCAAACATTCTGATGAATCCTCCAAAGGCAATGGCAAAAACAAGTCCCTGATCATCATGTGCTGCAGCAGGCCGTCCTTGGACCCGCAAAAGACCCTGGTGAAGAGAAGGAATCCAGCTTAGGGCGTGTTTGCAAATAGATGCTAGTTCTCCCAATTGCATGTTATTTATTTTTTCATGTTATTATGTAAGGTCCAAGCAAATTGTTTGGTTCAGTGCGTTTGTAGAAAAATTTGTTTTAAAAGAGTGGAGAAAGACAAGACCCACTATTTTAGAGTGCATTTTTAAGTATAGCCTACCCCTGTGTTTGAGATAAGCATCATTTTGATGTAGTAAACATTACTACATGTTTTCACCCAAAAAAGAATTGCTACACCTGCAATTTCAAATACACTATATCAAGAAGTGTCAATGCAACCAAACCTCTTGTTAGAGGTTCATATCACAAGTTGAAGCATGATTACGACAAGTTCCGCGACTATAAACTAAGATACCAGTCAAACCTGACACTTTTCAGCTCGTTGATCCTAAGCAAAACAGTTCTATCCAGGGAACCAGATATAAAACACTCTTTCCGAGAGCAGAAACTTAGTGAAATAACCCTGCAAGGCAAGTAACAAGTATAAAGAATCATCCAGTGCCCATTGAAAAAATCAGTTAGAAACACAGAATTCAAAGAAATAACACACCAAACCTGTCATGGTGACCCTTAAAGTATCGCAAATACTTGTTATCGTTCAACGAGAGGAGCCGAAGAGATTCTGGAACAAAGAGTTTACAAGTGAATGAGAGCGCAAAAAGAACCAGAAACAGAACAGTGACAAAGCAAACACGTTAACTGGAGAAACATACCATCCCATCCATTTTTGGAGGAGTATATAACAGTTGTAGGAAGAGAAGTGAAGGAAACCAGATCAACACCATACTTCTTGCTATTAATCGTCTTCAAACATCTGAAAACCACGAATTTTTCATCTTTAAGTTCAGAAAATACAGGGAAATGAAGCACGACCGCTCTAAATAAAAATCAATGGAGGGGGAGGAGAGCCCACGTTGCACTAGCAACATCATAAAGGCGAATGGATTCGTCGTCGCTAGCAGTCACCAAGTAGCTCGAGGGCTTGAGGAAATCCATGGAACTGATTCTTCCGCTCTGACACAGAAAGAGAAAATGAATCAGAAAGAAAAAGAACCCTAAACTTGAAAAATTCCATATCCAATGGGCTAAAGGACGCCACAGATAATATAACTGAGTCAGAAAAATTACATAATCTCTGAAGGCCATGCCGGTTTCCATACTCTGGAGGATCTCTCCGTCAACTCCAATGATACTTTCTCATCTCCTCTCTCCGCTTGCGCACCTTCGATCATAATTTCGAGTTCGAGACAAAGGGAAGCCGGGGAATTTTCAGGCACCCAGCAGCAAACAATTCCAGCTAGAACTTCGAAAGAAGGGAAGGAAAATCGCACATACCTATCATGCTCATGCTTAGAAAGACGTCGCGTCGACGGAGTAAGGAGCGAAATAAACGACCTCAACCGCCGTGGAAAACGGGAGCAGACGGCGGAGCCGGCGAATGAAAGGCATAAGATTTACAGAGCCGACCGGGGCTCAAGTAATTGGGCTTTCTTCTTCTCCTAGCTGCAAATAGATTTCGGAAGCGAGACGTGGGTCTAGATTTTTGAACCGGGAGATCCAAAGTTCAACTTGGGCCGCATTCTCACGAACCTTTTCACTTTCTTGTGAGTGAATCAAAGTTGTTAAACCAAAATGGCTTTTTTAAGCATTGACTTACTGGACTGTACCGGCGGTTCGACCAGAAAAATCTACTAACGAAGATTATATCGGTAGACGGGTATCTAGCGGTTAAACCACGAATTTAGAAAAAAATATATATCGCTGACTTTTCCGTTACAACCTTTGGTACGGTATTTCAATCCATGATTTTCATAAAAGCAAAATGGCTTTATTAATGAGACATATATCGCAAATAACCTTATAGATCAGGATGTTATGCAATTCCTTAAAACTAAAACTAAGGGAAGAAAAAATTAAAGTTAGATGTGAAAGTGGCCCATGATCAAATTGAATGACAATTGTTCTTCGAAGTGCTTGGGTTTCTGCATCCGATGGGTCAAGTGGATAAGGTCCAACATCACGGCCTCCTTTTGTACCAACACCTGTCATACCTCTTTGAATTCTTTGGCGGTGGCTAGCTTGGACAATGCATCTACGTGCATGGTTTTCTCGCGGGGGATATGATTGTATTCTATGGTTCGGAAACCTGATGTTGCTTCTTAGACGCGGTGAATGTACACTGTCAAGGCCTCTTCCTTTGCGTCAAAAGTTCCATTTCAACTGATTTATTACTAAATCCGAGTTGGACATCACGCATATCTTCATTGTGCCTAGGTCGTTGACTGCATATAAACCTGTCAAGATGGTCTAATATTCTGCTGCGTTTTCGTCTTTAGGTCTCTAAACTGGAGCGCGATCTCGTGAGTCACGCCCAGAGGGCTACGCAAGACAATTCATGCTCGAACACCATGCTTTCTTTCCGCTCCGTTCAGGTGCACGTCAAATGTTCCCTCTGCCTGGGTCTCGTGAACTTACCCTTCTGTGACAAAGTCTGCTAATATTTGTCTCTTTACACGTGATTGTGGCGCGTATTGGATTTTGTGCTCTTATAATTTGATGGACCACTTGGCAAACCTTCGGATACTTCCATGGAATTGAGGATGCGCTTGAGAGGAAGATTGGTGAGGACAATTATTTCGTGGGCTTGGAAATATGGGTGCAGCTTTTACGATGTGTTTACAAGCGTGAGTGAGGCTTTTTCAATGGGTGGATACCGTGTTTTTTGGGCCTAATAGATTTCTCGAGGTGTAAGACATCGATTTCTCGATGTTATTTTGGTTGGATACTAGGACTGTGTTGACCGCTCGTACCGACACAACCAAGTACAAGAATAATTTTTCATTGTTTTTAGGCGCGACCAAGACTGGAGGTGACACAAGATGTGTTTACGAATTTTCGAAGGCGGTGTCCCCACAAAACTTGACTCCCGCCTTTCGGACTTGGAAGAACAAGGCGCACTTGTCTGCCACCCAGGGGATGAGCCTTCATAGCATTGCTATCTTCCCGGTCAACACGTGTACTTCAGTAGTGGTTCTGGATGCACGGAGATTCTGTACGACATCAATTTGCTTCTGGTCCACCTCAACTCCCTTTTTCGTTATTATGAATCCCAAGAAATTTCTAGCTTCTACGCCAAACGCGCATTTTAGGGGATCCAACTGCAAGTTGTTCTGCGTAGTGCCTCTAGTCTTTGAAGAAGATCTTCGATGTGTGAGCGCCCCTTCTTTATCTTGATAATGAGGTCGTTGACATATTCCTAAAAGTTTCTTCCTATTTGCGTCTCAAAGACTGTTTTAATTAGCAACTAGTATGTCGTGCCTGTGTTTTTTAGGCTAAAGGGCATGTCCACAAAGCAGAAACTGCCAAAGGACGTCATGAATGGCATTTTTCCTTCATCCTCGAGGCTCATCGGTATTTGGTGGTACCCGGAGAAAATGTATAAGAACGAAAGCATGGAGTGATTTGGAGTCGGTTCAACCAGTTGATCTATTCACAAGAGTGGGTACGGGTCACTAGGGCAGACCTTGTTAGGCGTTGTGTAGTCAACACACATGTACCGTGCCCCCGACGCCTTCTTGATAATAACGATGTTGGAAAACCACTTGGGGTATTTCACCTCTCGGATGAGGCCCATAGCTAGCAGACATGCAACCTTGCTATGATGGCCTTAGGCTTTTCACCAGTGAGGGTGCACGTGGCCATGCAGGATAGCTAGCTCATGTTGAGCGATTTTCCTATGCACGCCCGACATGTCTTGCGTGCGCCATGCGAACAACTCATTGTATTCTTTCAAGAGTTGCATCAACGATTCGATCATCTGATTTGAGATGTGCGTCGAGATACAGATCTCTTGGTCGGGTTTGTTGGATTCTAGTGCCACCTTGAAGTCAGAGTCCACAGCTTCTAGGCGCGGCTCTTCATGCTTCGAATTGTTGGAAACTTCAACAACTGGTTGCACGTCGATGGTAGCACTCTAAAGTTGGCAAGTAAGGGTCGCCCAAGGATGGTGCTGTGCGGTGATGAGCAATCTGTGATACTAAACTTTATATGTTTCGAATTCTCGTCTCATAATACCACTGGGAGGGTGATAATCCCTATGATGGGCACTCTCATCCCGAAAAACCCGACCAAGCTTCCTTGCGCCCGCTTCATCATTCTGGGGTCCACGTCAATTTGGTCCAGTATGCTTTTGAAGAGAACGTCTGTAACACCCTACCCTATACATATTACCTAATCATATTGTTCATACAATTGCAGCGGAATTAATCTCGGGTGCTACATTAATTATCAAAATTTACCCAAATAAAATTTCGACATGAATTACTCGCGTAATGGGCTAACAGTTCTTCCATATGATCGTGCAAAATAATTCATCTGAATCCATGCATTCAATGACAAACATATATACTAACAACCATATACATGGACTTTCATATCCTTAGTCACAGTTTCATACTACACAACTGCATACCAAACTTATACATACCATAATCGTCACAACTTACACAATTACAAAAATATACACATATCATCAACTTTCCACACCTGTGGATATCTCACACTACATTCAAAGCTAGTATGGACATGAAAAACGTTCTCAAAACATTTTTACAAAAAGGTGTGGATCACTGGCCAAAATCCCGAGTAGTAGTCCAAGCACAGAATAGTTGAAGACCATACCTCATCTTGCCTTCAACTCTTGCTCAGCTTCCACCTATACACCTATCTACTGCTGCTGCTGATGATCTGCTTACACATGGCATAAGCAGAGAAAAAGGATAAAGAGGGTCAGCTCATAGCTGAGTGAGATAATCATAGCATCGTGAGTTCATAAGAGAGCATACCCCTACCATACATCTAGCAAACAAGCCAAAGCACTGGGATCATATCTCAGCCCTCCGACATCCCAATAGGCAAAAGACTCAACCACCTTGACTTATGCATATGCATCTTATCATGTTTCAATCATAGGCGCCTGGCTACTCCCATGCTAATAACTCTCCCGGGAAACATACCCCACATCCCGTCGGATGTAGTCATACATACCCCAACATCCCGTCGGATGTGGTCATACATACCCCACACAACTATGGGTGTAGTCATACCCCGACACCGCTCTGGGTGTGGTCATATCTCGTAAGAATTCTTCAGTCACCACCAAATGAGAGGTGTGACTATCATACATATCATAATAGAGTAATAGCATAGGGAGCCCTAATTACTATGTAGTTGACCGTGAGACCATAACACTCATATTCGGCATCCTTATACATGATTCATATCTCATCTTGCTTAATCATAATTCGTTACTTGCACATGTACTTGACCAGGCCACAATTGGCTCAACATAGGTAAATCAGGAGTCGTATAATTGTACTTCCTCGGGATAAACCCTCGTGCAAGTCATCCTCCTTAAAACATCATAATATTACCAGGGAATATATATTTTCGCACTTGTGCATCCAAATACAAAAATAATGAAAAATCATATCCAATCACCTTCTCGAACCATCATAAGGCATATTCACAATTAAACCCACATCTGGCAACATATATAGAATCATCAACATAAACAAGGTCCATATCGTTTAGGGCAAGTCAATAATATCATACAGAAGCCTATAGTTCATCATATAGCAGAAAAGTCCATACACCCCTAATCATGCCATTCTAATTCACCTAGGTCAATTCTAAACATCAATATAATTATCGTGATACGACAAACCCGGTATGCCGTGCTAATCCCTCACCAGTTCTGGTCGTTCAAACACCGGTTTAACCTTCCCGTACTAAAACGTCAATTTCACGAACAAACCCCGAATTAACATCCGAGACCGTCCTAGTATCCCCTGCAGTATCCCCGTCAATATTAGTTCTAGGCTCCGGGTCAAATTCTCGATAAAAACACATCAAACCCTCGCCGAAGCTAAATTCAGCGGTTTGGACCCCGGGCTAAATAATTGCCGAAATTCAGAGATTAGAACTAGAGGATTGATTACCTCGCTGCAGGAAGCTCGTATATGAAATTTGGGCTCAATCCGGCTTCCGGATACTCCGAAACCCTAATTTGACTTATCGGGAATTCAAGAAATTCCTGAACCAAAAACTCGTTTTAAAGCTCTAAATCGATAAATCACGATGTATAGATGAATTAGGCATTACTTACGGGATTTTTGGATTGCTAAAGGTCAAAAATCGAGCTCGGAGAATTTCCTGCTCTCTCCCCTGCGCGCCCTGTTTCTCAAACTATCTCTCGGTTCTTTTTTTTAGGAGAAGGAAGAAGATGGAAATGGATGGCTTTTACATATATATATATATATATACTAAAGTGTTGGCCGCTTAGTGTAATTAAATATATATATATATATATATATATATACTTATCCGATCGATCGATAATCCAATTTTCGTCGAAATAGTGTCGAAATGCTCGATTTTAAATCGTGAAATTTTCTCGCGAACAAAATATGGGTTTTGCCGGAACGGGATGTTACAATTCTCCCCTCCTTAAAAGATTTCGTCCCCGAAAT